ACTGTTTATGGCATGTTTATGGAACTTGCATATTGTGTCTATTGATTGTGTATATGTACATATTTTTATACATATTTTTATATATATTTGTGATTTTCTTTATTCGGGATTGTGGGAAACGGTATTTCGATCTCTCTGTCTGTATGATAAGATAAGAAGAACTTTCTTGATCCAAATTTGGGAAATGTTTGCGTTGCAGCAGCATAAAAAGACCAGGCATGGTAAAATACAAATTCAAGACAAGATATAAACAAGAAAGTAATTTAACAAGGTATTATATATACATAAATATATGACGGATGGAATATTAAATATTGAACAGATTATATAAATGTACAATGTGGTTTTATTCCAAGAGAAACAAACTGAAAGATTGACAATAAAGTTGACTTTGACTTTTGACTAAATGAAACAAAATAAGCGCTGTTAAAAAGTCTGAGCTGATATTTATTCGTCTTCTTCCTGAGGTGTAAGAAATGAGGCTGCTCACACATATCCATCACATATTAAATCTGTGGGTAGATGATGAGGCCCGTCCTTTCTGATCTATGCAGATTATGAGGAATGATACTGGGTCACGTTCCTCCAGGTCCCATTACTGGCATCCCACCAGCATTTACAAATCCCAAACAAATCCCGAATCTAACCAGCAGCTAGACATGACGCTGCTCTTCCTGTCGGGGAACAATACGTGCACATTCATCTGGATTATCTCATTAATCTCTCCCTTTTTATGATTAAAGAAGAAATGTAAAAGACGAGGCAGCGGGGAGAGATGAGATCAGTAATCCTGCAAAGAAAAAGTCCTGCGACCTTGACATTTCACTCCTGCTCAAATGCCAGAAGATTATCCAGTGAACTGAAGACAGACGGGAGGAGAGAGAGGAAACAAAAATAGAAACATTCTGAGGGGAAGCAAACATTTGAATTCACGTTGATGTGCCACATATATTTATAGCAGGATTTGTTGATGGCTGGGAGAAGCACATCCGGTACTTTCTGTTATTTATCCGAATGATTCTGGGTCGTATTGTTTTGTGTTCTGAGTGTGTACAGTATGTGTGTGTTTGCTGAAGGGGGATGTGGATAAGGGGGCGGGGGGGATGCCTTTGGCTTTTTGAGTCACTCCCTTTTTCCTCTCGCTTCAATGCCTCTCACCTCTCACCTGCCCCATGGCCCCCGCCTGCAGACTCCTTCCTCCTCCTCCTCCTCTTCCTCCCTGACTGCTCACCTCACACATCACTGCCCTTACAGAGCATCATAAAACCTGTTTATTTCTCTTTTATAGGAGACATTTAACCAGATTTAACAACTGTCAGGGTAAAACTTGACACTAAAATAGAGATTTCTGCTCATGTTGGCGGGAAATAAAGGAGAAAATACATCGAGTTTCACGACATGTCCTCTTACTTTTATGAGAAGTGGAAAAAAGCATTTAAAACAACATAAAGGTATTTATTGCACTATATTTGTCTATTTTTGGATGTAGATTTCTCCTAAAATCTGAAGTCAGCTTTACATAATGCCTCATTTGCATGTTTAAAGTGTCGTGCAATACAAAATATATAATGTTTTAATATCAGAAATGAAGAAGGGAAGTTTCATGGTAGTTACTTATTTTACCCTGTTTGCTTTTAGTACAAAATGTATTTATTTGACAAAACATTTCTTTAAAGGCAGTAGCTTTTCCCCCATCTCTCAGCAGAAACCCCTCCATGTTCAATCAGGGCTTTGTTCATATATCATTTTTAGTCTGATTTAAAGCGCTTTTATTCCCAAAACATGGCAAGAATTGATTTTCTAGGGATGTTGACGGTGTTTTCTGATCGGCATCCAAATCCCCTCTCTAAGACTAACATGCCAACGACTTGAGATGATATTTTTTACTCCTTGCTTTATCAAATGCTCAGATTTCTGTCCCCTTTACTGAGGCAGGACTGCTCCCTCTGACTCTGCAGACCTGAAATGAAATCACATGTTTCGGGTCGTGCCTCGGTGTTTTCAGGATGTTAAACATGTCCCTGTCTCGACTGATAAATGCGACGTGCGTCCTGTCTCTCTTCCTGTCCGCATTGTTTTGCCAGCAGTGCTGCGCCTCTCTGAAAATGTGCATCTGCATCACCTGTCACTCAGGGGAGGAACGCCATGTGCCGTTTGATTGACATGAGGGGGGGGGAGGGGGGGGGCATATCTCACACGGTTCACTGCGCCAAAATATGTGTGAACAGAAATGAGGACATGGAGGGAGAAACTGTGAAGAAGAGGAAGAAGAAATACTGATACAAATATGATACTGTATGTGTTTTAAGCCGGTCCCCTGTGTGTGTTGTGTGTTTGTCTAACAGAGCGTGAGTGTGTGTGTGTGTGTGTGTGTGTGTGTGTGTGCGTGTGTGTTGTGTGTTTGTCTAACAGAGCGTGAGTGTGTATGTGTGTGTGTGTGTGTGTGTTCCTGAACGTATATGCAGAGATATGTGTGAGGGGGGATGTTTCTGTTGTTTGCCCCTGCTGCATCGGTAAACAGTGATGCTTTTGAATCAGTTCAAAGAAGACGAGCAAGATTCATATTTTTGGAGATAACAGATGTTTCGAACAGTTGAATTAGGTGAAATTAAGAAAGGCAATCAACTAGTCCTCTTCTTCAACATTGTCTATACCATCTCAGCTGTTTAGGCCTGGATGTACGAAGAGCCTTAACCCTAACCCCAAGTGCAACCCGTGAAGTAAAAACTCTCAGAACATTGAGCAAATATTCACTTTTATATCGGCAAAATCAATCAGTGATTGCCACAAAAAGTCCAACCCCTAGTAGATCACTCTTTCCCTTGGTAAAACTTGTTTTAAAAAATAAATGGAACAATAATCTAAAGGTGTCTTCTCTGGAAGCTACAGCTACCTTAGATTGTGGGCCGAATGGTTTAATAATCCCAGAGAATCACATCGATGTGTGTGTGTGTGTGTAGTGTGTTTGTCTAACAGAGCGTGTGTGTCTCTGTGTGTCTGTGTGTGTGTGTGTGTGTAACCTGCATTTGCAACACATAGATCACTCTTTCCCTTGGTAAAACTTGTTTAAAAAAAATAAAAATGGAACAATAATCTAAAGGTGTCTTCTCAGGAAACTACAGCTTCCTTAGATTGTGGACCGAATGGTTTAATAATTCCAGAGAAGCACATCGATGTGCTAAATACTGGATTGGAGTTATTTCGAAGATGATACAAACCCTACTGAAGTGCAACTGCAACCTACATGTATAAGGTAAAACTCATAGCGCAAATATTCTCTTACATACTGCGACATTTTCAAACACTTGTTCTTTCCGCGAACCATCAAAGAGTAGAACTTGAGGTCAGAAAAAGCAGTTTGTGCTTCCTGCAAATGTTAAGGGACATTTTATGATTATACGTCCACAAATGAGCGTTACCCTGCCCATATCCAGATCAACCAAACAGGAGGCCTGCAGGAAGTGACAGGAAGTCCACAGGTGTGCTCTGAGAGGTGTCAAACAGGAGGTGTGTGGTGCAGTGGGTTGTGCATTGGTGTTGGGATCAGGGGGTCACAGGTTCAAACCCCACTGTAGTCAGCATGTTGTTGTGTCCCTGAGACACTTCACCCCAAAGTGCTCCTGTGGGGATTGCCCACAGTATTGAGTATTTTAGTTGCTATGGATAAAAGCGTCTAACATGTGACATGTAATGTAATGTGTCACCTGCAGGTATTGGACTCTATTCAGGACCCTTTAACCCCCGGAGGCCACACTGTTCACACAGATCCACGTCTTCCCTACAGACACAGCTTTGATGCTCTTCAATCCTACAGTGTCCTCTTTGGTCACTGTTACGTCCCCACTAAGGTCTAGGGGACCTGGAGACAATAACATACAACCAATACAAATGAGGGAGTCAGTGTAACAGTTGACAAAAGGTTTATTTTTAGTAAACCCAGAATCGAACAGACATATACTTGAAACACTCGGTTGGTGAGGAGGAGGAGGAGTCAAAGGATTGTGCCAAACAAAAGAAACAAGCATAACAAAACCAGGCCTATCTCTACATCTATCCTTTGAAACCAAAACTCAAACAAAAAAACCCTCACTAACTAAACTACAAAGAATTTGACAAAACAATATACAGGGGTGGCAACAATCCGCTAACCTAGTGTGTCTGAACATTAGTTAGCTACGTGGTGAGAAATGTACAGGGTACCCCAGACTTACCTAACTCCTCCACCTCTCAACACACACACTTTCACAAAGGTCAGACAATTCAAAGATCATGAGTTGCTTAAACACTGCAGGCTCCTTCATCAGCAACAGGCCCAGAGTGAGAGAGAGAGAAGACTTCCTGGGTGCCTCCTTTATGGTCGGCCCTGGCTGCTGATAGGCCAGCTGAGGGTGAGGGGATCCAATCAGCCATAAGAGTCAGGTGCACAGGCAGATTCCGATCAGCTGCTGATTAGCTGTGCAGAAGACAGGAGAAGAGAGAAACACAGGAGGGAAAGAAAACCCCACAAGTACAGCCTGCCTGGCACGTAACAGTCACTTTAACTTCTTGCAGGGCAACCGCTCTCTTAAACCAGGACACAAATCAAAGCTCTGCGCGCCCTTCTGATGTCGGGGAATATCGCTGCAGCTCTCTTTTAACAGAGAAATCCTCTTTTGGGCATGTGGGAGATGCTCTGTTGCATCAACGATAAGTGAGAATGATGTTTGTTGTAATTGAATCCATAAAGGAGAGGATTTACTATGTGTCACAATAGTTTGTGTTGTTGTTTATTCAGTCACATGTTTGTTTTTCACCTTCAAATCTTGTCACTTTCTGCAGCATAGCCAGGCGACCCGATAACAACAGCTCAGCTTCTTCTGTGTTTTCACTTATTCAACAATGTCGGCATTCTTCGACGCAGAGCGGCTGTGTGTGTTTTCATGAAAGGAACTCACAAACCGGCTGAACTCACCAGAAATAAAGGGTTCACCTTTGAAGGCAGCGACGCTCCGTTTGAAAGTGCCTCTGACAGTCGCAGTACACCCCCCACAAGATCTCTGAAAGAGCCCGAACTTGACAGTTTTGTGACTGTCTCCATGGAAACGGTGAGAGGCGCTCATTAGGGTAGTGCCAGAAAAATCTGTTTCGGAGGAACAAAACCCCCCTGACTAAAAAAAAGAAGCTGAGAACGGCATGATTTTTAAAGGAAGCTAAACGACGTGAAAACAACAAAGGAGGGAAAGAAAAGCCAAACTTAATGGAGGACAGCAGAGGACTGCGTTATTAAACATATTTGCAGAGCTGTGGATTTAAAATGGCTTTTGACACATCTGTTGAATCAGAGATACTTTTCAAGGGCAGCCTCTCGTCTGGCATCAACGTCATCTACACTGTCTCCTTCACAATGTGTCTTCTCACTCTTTTTACACCTCATAATATATTTTGCACCCACGTACAGATGTAACTGGCATGCACATCTTTACAAGACACTTTTTGTTTCTCGCATTTAATAAATATCTCTGCACTGCAAGAAGTGTTAGGATATTCATTTCAGCTTATAGACGGTAAGGGGACATGTCATGCAGGGTGAAAGAAATTAACTAATAGATATCACAGTGACACTTCCCATGTTAATCACTTAAGACAATTATGTTTTGTATTGCATGTTTTCTGAAATTGAATGTTTAAATATGCAAATGAGGGACTATCAATGCAATTCTGCTCAAATTAGGAGAAATCTGTAGACACAAATACACCAAGTTAGTCAAATAAACACCTGTATGTGGATTGTAGATCCTTTCTCTCCATTACACTAAAGCAGGGGTGTCAAACTCATGGCCCGAGGGCCAAATCCGGCCCGTGACTTCATTTTCTGTGGCCCCACAAGAGCTTGCAAAGAATATAATACGTTTGTTATACGGTTACATGCCGATTTACAGAAGCACGTTGCCCATAAACTACATGTCCCACAATGCATCTCAAATTGGACTTATTTCTCAGAATGTTACTTTTTTTCAAAATGTTACTTTTTTTTCATGTCATAATACATTATTTAAATTAATACATATAAAATATATATAAATGTATATTTATATAGTCTTAAAGTTACAACGGGCCCCTGCAACCATAATGCTAATGTGGCCCGAGATGAAATTGAGTTTGACGCCCCTGCTCTAAAGGAAGACGTGTTATATATGTAAAAAAGCACAAATTCTTTAATTTGACCTGTGCAAAAACATGTTCTTTTAGTCTGTAGTTTCT